GCTGACAATTTCTGAGCCTCCTGGTGGGGTCTGCAGGCCGACACTCAGTCCACTGAGCCAAACCCAACTAAACCATAATTTATCTTAAAAAAACAAAACAAAACACCCTCACTACTTTTAGAATAAAACACATTTATTCTAAGCAATAAGCTAGTAGTTTATGCTAACACTTAACATTTTATTTCCATTTCCTTCTGAAAATGTTTTGGGTGTTTTTTTTTTTCACTTCCATTGAGGACTCTGACCCCTGAAAGAACCAACTCTCCTACGCAATTTGCTCTTACACCTCGAGTCATTCTTTATCAAGTATTTCTGTCATGTGTCCAGCTAAGACACAGTGCCCATGAGGGAATTCACACCTGCAGCTTTCATCAGCAGATTTGCCAAATGCCAGAGGAGATCTCATAAATGTACCCCTTTTAGATATAATCACCTGATTTGGGAAGAGTGATGATAAGACATCTCTTCTCCTGAAGAGAATCAAGAGCTGAGTGGGGGCAGTAGTAACTGCTGCCGTGTCATTGGCTATTCAAAGCACAGCATTCAAATATTTTGCTTCTGGCTACATCAGCTGAGGATAAATGAAAGTCCATCATTTCTGATCAGACTTAGTCGTCAGCAGTACAAATGCATCAGAATGCTACTAACTTCTCTATGCAACTGACTGTGTAGAAGATCGCTTTTCTGAAAGATAGCTTGACTTTGGAAAGATGATAATTTGAGTTCCCTAAATTGAAGTAATATAGGCTATGCATAGAATGTACTATCTTTGAGTTTAATAACTTTTCTTCATTTATTGTAAACTGTTACACTAAGAAACAAACATTCAGAGCCAGAAATAAGACTTTTCCAGCACCTCAGAATGATAATATCAATCTACTAAAATTGTTTTGATATTGAATATCATGATTACAAGACCGTTTATAATAAGCATGCAATAAGGGCATTTTTGTTCAAACACCTTAGTCTTATTGGGTTATTCACTACTACTGTCTACCTCTCTTAGGGTTTCCTCATTATCATGTAGAAGATATCTAGAACATCTTTTAAATTTCCTTTCTACGTGTGGCCCTGAATTAGTCTGATCATGACAGGCATCTAAATGGTAATTTGAATGGTGAAGAGCACAGTTTCTCTTGATGCAGAAAAAATACAATTTGCATGGGTAATGTGGGTGATCAGAAGATTTGGGTATGAGACAGGTCTGTGATAGGAATCCCATTCATTGAGTATTTGAGGTTCTGCCTCCTTTCACATGGCGGGGTGACACTTTGAAATCATGTGAGACAATGTGATTGGTTTCGAGCAAAGAATTGTAAACAAAACGATCTGTATGACTTGAGGACCAAGCATTTGATTGCTTTTGAGAGTTCTCTTCCTGTCCCTGTTGTAGCTGGTGTTGCTCAAGAGACTTGCTGCTCTGAAGCTTGGTTGGCTGACTGATTCCCATGGGCCCTGCATGTGGCATGAGCAGGAAACAAACAGGAGCTGTTTTTGGTAGACAGAATAATGTCTTCCCAAAGATGTCCATGTCCTAATTCCTGAAACCTGTTACTCTAGGTAGATAAAGAGATGTTGCAGATACGGTCAAGTTAAAGACCTTGAGACTGGGTTACATATTATCTTGGATTATCTGGGTTGGCCTTTTGTATTCGAAAGGGTCCTTGAAATGTTAATGGAGCAAAGGTTGGAATGGTGTGATTGCTGGCTTCGAAGCTATAGGATGATGCCAAGGGATTCAGGCGGCTTCTAGAAACTGGAAAAGGGAAGGAAGTAGATTTTCCCCTTGAGCCCCAGAAGGAGTTCAGCCCAGTGAAACCCATTGCACACTTCTGACCTCCTGAACTCTAAGATAATAAAACTGTGTTATTTTAAGCCACTAAGTTTGTAGTAGTTTGCTAGAGCAGCAATAGAAAATGAATATACTATTTTAAGCCATTTGAGGCTTGAGATTGTTTATTACAGCACCATAACCTAGTCTATCTTGACTGATATAATTCTCCCTTATTTTTTTTTTATGGTCAAAATTAGCATTGAGGAAATGTACTTTAAAATTCAAGTGGTGTTTTCTTCACCCAAACAGTGTTTATAATCTTCAAGTTGTCCTCTTCCTATTTTTGGGGGGGGAGGGATGTGAATCAGAGGATAGATAACATTTTGGAAATTGTCTACATATTTTCTATAGTGTATAGGAATATAATCTAAAATGCAGTAGAGAACCTGTCTTTAAGAATTGTCAGATGCAGCCTGGCTGTCATGGCTCAGTGGTTGAGCGTTGGTCAATGAACCAGGAGGTCACAGTTCAATGATCAATGAACCAGGAGGTCACAGTTCAATTCCAATCAGGGCACATGCTTGGATTGTGGGTTTGATCCCCAGTGGGGGGGAGGGGTGCAGGAGGCAGCCAATCAATCAATGGTTCTCTCTTATCATTGATGTTTTTCTCTCTTTGCCCCTCTCACTTCCTGTCTGAAATAAATAAGAATATATTTAAAAAAGAATTGTTAGGTGTTATTTTAGAATGTCTGTTTTGTTCTCACTCTTCTTTGGTTTATGAAATGTAGAATGAATTTTCCTGCCTATGGATAAGATAGAAAGATTTAACCCATAGATACCATGCAGGAGATAAACTAGCAGTCACTTTATTAACAAGTTTATTTGGTGACAGTGTATTCTTCCTTCAAGAAGATAAAAGTGTAAAGTGTCAGATAAGTTGTAATGTTGGGATCAACAGAAGAGCTCTGCTATAGACTGTCACACATAAAAAGGGGCTCAAAACTGAGCTATTGTGCAGAGATAAAGATGAAGAAGTATTTTCAGAATGTTTTTCCTATGTGAACTTCAGTGTGGAATCCAGAAGTGACTCTGTTGATGCAGGTGCTAGAAAGATGAAAAGGAAAACAAAAAGGAAAGCATCATTTTCTGAGATTCAAGAATTTCTCTGTAAGTAACCCAAACACATTTCTGTTTTTTTTTTAACCTGCATACCTCACACGTACACGCATGTGTGCTACACATGCTCACACAAGCATATGTATAGACCCCAATGTGCATATTTGATCATTTCCCAGGTATCTGGGAACACTTATTCCGTCACTCTCCCTGGAAGGTAAAAGAAGGCAGATTTCTCTAAAACGCTCCACGGAATTTCCCTTTTATGGGGCTGTTACCTCAAGGAGTGTGGGAGCATTGAGAGTGCCTGTTCTTGCCCTCCACCCCCAGACCCAGGGATGGAACTTCTCTGCTCTCTGGACACTCTCTGGCAGTTTTGAAAGCTTGCCATCCACATCCATGTCCTACAGTCTCAGCACATCTGGTGGGTGGGAATCTCTATCTTGTTTAATACTTGGCAGCTCCAATGTATGTCTTATAAATGAATGTCTTACACTTCCTAGAAGCTTATAGTTGTATAATTTTGTACATCCTTCCTGTAGAGAAATATGCTCATAAAAGCATTGCAGTTAAAATTTCCCTTAAACAATGTTCCTCTTAACTTTCTACATTAACACCCTTCTACATACATACACAGAATCATCAGAGCTCTGTATGCCAGAGTTCTTTACTCCCTGGTTGGTTACATATAAAATCATCTTTAACATATTATTTTCAGCCACCATGAAGAATTCTACTGTCTTAAAGCACAGCCCAATTCCTGTTTATCTCAAATACTACTAGATCCTTTTTCATGCGACCAAATTTCACATGATTTAATTTTTCCCAATAATGAGTGCCAAGCATAAATCAAATGGTTAATTAATACATGTTTGTTGGGTGCCTATACACTTTGTCATTGTGCTAGGCTCTGAGTACACAACTTTGAACTAGATACATGTGAGGTCTGTCCTTAAGCTATACATATGTCAGTTAAGATGACAGTTAAACATAATATTGGAGAAGGATACTTATGAGTACTTACCGGGGGAAACTAAGTTACTATTAGTGGGGAGACCAGTAGGAGGTTTAGAGATAGTTTTCTGGTGGAATAACATGTAAACTGAGACCTAAAACAAAAGTAGGGGTTACCCAATGCAACGGAGGCAATGGCATGGCAGAGGCAGCAGCATGATTGATTGAGATTTGAGAGAGGGAAAAGGGCCAAGACCAAGTCAGGAACTGAAAGAAAATCAATACCTAGAGCAGTGATGGCGAACCTATGACACACGTGTCAGAGGTGACATGCGAACTCATTTTTTTTGGTTGATTTTTCTTTGTTAAATGGCATTTAAATATATAAAATAAATATCAAAAATAGAAGTCTTTGTTTTACTATGGTTGCAAAGATCAAAAAATTTCTATATGTGACACGGCACCAGAGTTAAGTTAGGGTTTTTCAAAATGCTGACACGCCGAGCTCAAAAGGTTCGCCATCACTGACCTAGAGCCATCTGTGTTTGTACTTTTCCATTTTGTTTTTCTTTTTTTCTGAAGCCTTGGGACAAAGTGCCAAATGCTGTGAAGGGTAGACTGACTGAAGCTGATTTGCAAAGGGGGTCTTAGATGAGAGAGTCTGTAGCCATCAACTTCCAGGCTATAAAAGAGTGTGGAGACAGATTCAGGAGTCAGAGGTTGGGACATGGTTTATGTAGAAGAATCAGTATGTTATGAGATGTGTCACCTCTCCTGAGGTCTGTGTGAGAGAGATGGTGCTCCAAGGGGATTTTTCTGATGACTTCATATTTGTCCCCCCCAGCTTGGGGGACACAGGCCTGAGAAAAATAAAGGATGAGGTTCTGCCTGCAGTAGACTGTAACAGTGAAGTATAAATTGTGATATTGTTAGTGTTTTATCCTGTCCATGTGGACTTTTCCTATTAATCTGGTGTGTGTGTGTGTGTGTCTTTTGTGGGGAGAGCTAGCTGGATATCAACCAAACAAACTTAGAGTAATTTTTCTTAAAGGAACTTTATCCAGGGTGATGCTCAGACAGGGACACTGAAAAGCAGCAACTGAGGGGGCTGATTTAAGGGGCCCTGCAGACATGTAGCACCCTTGCCAGTGAACCAGAGGTGGGGGATCCTTACAAAGGGCCTATGTCAGCAAATCCCACTGTATTAGGCAAAGTTCTCTGGAACAACAGAAAAAGTAGAGATGTTGCAGAAGACCAAAGAAAACCAAGTGGCACTTTAAAGAAATGGAGGGACACTGTTTAATTACACCATAACTTTACTTTTATTTTATCTTTATTGTTGAAAATATTACAGACGTCCCTCTTTTATCCCCCCATTTACTTCATCCACCCCATTCCCATCCCCTCCCAGGCCTTTACCACACTATTGTCTATGTCAATGGATTATGCATATATGCATATAAATTCTTTGTTTAATCTCTTCCCACAACACCCACCCCTATCTGAGATTTGTCAGTCTGTTCCATGCTTCTATGTCTCTGGATCCATTTTGTTTATCAGTTTATTTTGCTCATTAGATTCCACATATAAGTGGGATCATGTGATACTTGTCTTTTTCTGAATAGCTTATTTCACTTAGCATAATACTATCCAGGTCCCTCCATGCTATCTCAGAGAGTAAGAGATTCTTTTTTTTTTTTTTTTTACAAATGCACATAGTATTTCATGGTGTAAATGTACCACAGCTTTTTTAACCACTCATCTACTGATGGGCACTTGGGCTGTTCCCAGAATTTAGTTATTGCAAATAGCACTGCTGTGAACATAGGGGTGCATATATTCTTTCTGATTGGTGTTTACAGATACATCTTCTAGGGCAAGATAAACAAATGGGACTACATTAAAATAAAAAGCTGCACAGAAAAGGAAACCATCAACAAAATGAAAAGAGACTTCAATGTATGGGAGAACAATGATACTGATAAGGGGTTAATTTCCAAAACATATAAAGAATTCATACAACTTAACAAAAGGAAGACAAACAATCCAATTTTTTTAAATGGGCAAAAAATAAAAAATAAATTAAAATGACAGTGAGGTATTTCACCCCACACCTTCCAAAATGGTTACTATCAACAAATGACACATTCTGGTGAGGATGTGGGGAAAAGGCAACCCTAATACATTGCTGGTGGGCATGCAGACTGGTGCAGCCACAATGGAAAACAGTATGGAGTTTCCTCAACAGATTAAATATGGAACTGCCATTTGACCCAGGGATCCCACTTCTAGGAATGTATTTAAAGTGGGTTTCTTATAGACAGCACATAATGATTCTTGCTTTTAATGAACACTTATCTCTCACTTATCATTGGTACTTAAACCATTCTTATAGACAGCACATAATGATTCTTGCTTTTAATGAACACTTATCTCTCACTTATCATTGTTGTACTTAAACCATTCGTATTTAAATTGGTTGATATCTTTGGATTACAGTCTACCCTGTTTGTAATTGTTTTCTATTTGTTGACTTGCCCTTTTTTCTTTATTCACCTCTCTTTTTCTGGTTTCATTTGAGCATTGCATATGATTCTATTTTATCCCATCTGTTAACATATCAATTGTCATCTTTTAAAAAATTCTGCTCCTGAAGAGGACATCTTCTCTCTCCCATGCCTGTTTCTGTTCATTTGGAGGAGGTGAAAGCTGCTGTCCTGCTTCATCCAGTTCTTGCTCCAGGTCTTCCAGGAGAGGGACAGCCTCTTCAGCACTCTCTGGACAGTGCTCCTGTACCCAGGCCTGCAGCTCCCGGGGCAGGATGGTCAGGAACAGCTCCAGCACCAGCAGCTCCAGGATCAGTTCCAGGATCGGGTCAAAGGGACAAAGGGGTTCCCCCCCTTTTTTTGTAATTACAAAATTGTTTTAATCTGGTACATAGAAAACACGCCTCAGGTTCTGTAATTCAGGAGCATATAAAGAAGTGAATTCGGGCAGCGACTATTAAGAACATCAGGCAAAGCTGCTAGAACTAAGCCACTATGGAAGACAGTGTGGAGTTTCCTAAAAAAGTTAAAAATGGAACTCCCATTTGACCCAGTGATCCCACTTCTAGGAATTTATCCCAAGAAACCAGAAACACCAATCAGAAAAGATATATGCATCCCTGTGTTCATAGCAGCACAATTTACCATAACTGAGATTTGGAAACAGCCTAAGTGCCCATCAGCAGATGAATAGATTAGAAAACTGTGGTACATCTACACAATGGAATACTATGCTGCAGTAAAAAAGAAGGAATTCTTACCATTTGCAACAGCATGGATGGAACTGGAGAGCATTATGCTAAGTGAAATAAGCCAGTCACTGAAAGAAAAATACCACATGATCTCACTCATTTATGGATAATAAAAACCATTTTAAACTGATGAACAAAAATAGATACAGAGGCAGAGCAGCATTGAACAGACTGTCAAACTATAGTGGGAAGCCCGGGGAGGGTTGGTGGCGGGGGTAAGAGATCAACCGAAGGACTTGTATGCATGCATATAAGCATAACCAATGGACACAAGACACTGGGGGGTAGGGGAGGCCGGGGGAATGTCAAGGGGGGGAAAAAGGAGACATATGTAATACTCTTTGCAATACTTTAAGCAATAAAAAAAAAGATACAGTCCTACCATATGTCCAGGAGGAGCAGAACCAGAAAACAAAAAAAAAGAAAAAAACAAAAAGACTAACACTAATGACTACCACCCGCACTGGCTTTAGCCAGAAAGGAATGTGCTGTGACTCCTAGCTGAACAGTTCATGGGTGGATACAGTCAGGTGCTGCTTAGATTAGAGCTCCAATGATGTCAAGGCAATCGATTCCTTTATCTAGTCATCTCTTGGTTATAGGTCGTCCCCCTCCTTTAATTTCAAGGGCATAGCTTCACAACACTTAGTGCAGTGAATAAGATAGCACAAACCAAAGCCCCTATGGAGCCTTGCTGCTGTGACTGTCCTAACAGATGTTATGTGCTCATCTCTGT